AGAGTGCATGCAGGAAGGGGAGTGGAAGGGGCTAGAGTCAGATCCTAGCGAATCATGCCTTTTATAAAACAAAAACAAACTTTTGTTACTTTTTTTTTTTAATCTCAGCAGCATAGGTCCCTGATAGACAAATGAGAAAATACAGATCAGGAAAATGAAAATAAAAATCTAATGGTATCATAAGTATGTACGGTGTTAATATTTTGGTTTATATCCTTTCAGACTTGAATTTGTCTATGAAAAAATATATGTATTTCTTTATTATAATCAGATATTTATGTAAGAACTAGGGTACATGACTAGTTTTCAATAACTATGTTAGTGGTTACTATGATCACGCCTTTTAAATTAATTAAATATTAATCATTCAGAATGTAGCTATAAGAATTATATTCTGACAACAGGCATTTAGCTGGTTGTCATTTCTTTTATTACTATAAATAACTGTGCTGTGTGCCTGTGTGGCATTGGGGAAGCTGCTTAACCTCTCTGTGCATTTGATTTCTCATCCAGAAAATGAAAGTGGATTTTCTGTGACTATGTTTTTTGGTTTAGAGCAGGGGAGAGAGTGACTTTTTTTTAAAAAAATAGTATACCAGGGGTATCTCACAAAGGTCATGGGAAATGGAATTAAAAGATGAGGTTTTTGGGGACTCCAAATTTTTTATGATAGTCAATTTCCACAATGTTTTTGTTGCTGTTGTTGTTGCTTGTTTGTTTGTTTTGATGAACCTTCATACTATGGTGAACTCCGTGGAGTCTGACAGAGCTGTGTGCTTTTGGTCAATGTCACTTCACCATGCTGAGGCCCAGTTTCCTTATCAGCACCCTGGGGGTCCGCAGGACCTCGCTCACAGGGTAGCTGTAAAAGTCGAATAAGATAATGCTTTGAAGCCCTCAGCACCCTTCTTGAGAAGAATTCAATCAAAGGCACTTGGTAGAATAACTGTCATTTCTGTAACAATCCAGCTACTTGTAGTAAGCAGGTTTCCTTGCTTATTGAACTGGTGGTTGTGGGGAAAGAGGGCAGTGAATGGAGTACTTCGGATGTTTTTAATCTCTTGTCTTTGCAATCTCTTGATTGCAAATGAGAGAAAATGATTTTGGAACCAGACTGGCTGGGGCTCAGATCTCAGCTTCTCCATTTACTTGCGCTGTGACCTTGGTTACAGCAGATCTTCCCAGCCCATTTCCCCATTTATAAAAGTGTTGCATGGATGGTGTGTAGCCCAAGTGCTCAGATATTGTTGCTTGTTCATTATGAGTTATTATTTGTTGTTCATTATGAGGTACGTAAAGACCTGAATGTCATGCACCCCTTCCCCAGCCCATTGCCAAACTGAGTCCTTGTACCTGGGCTACTTGAACTTCACTTGAAGGTGAAAGGAGCAATTGTATCCCTAGACTGAAGGGGGCTTAAAGGGGACTGAGTCAAGAAGACTGGAAGACCTGGGTAGTCTGTTGGTTCTCCTCTGACCCTGTGCCCCCATTCTAGAGCACAGGTTTCAGCCCGATTTCAAGCTGACATCCCCAAGGCTCAGCATCTTTTTCTTGCCAGCTGCCTAAAATCCATGGAGCCACACTGTGGAATCCTAGCACTGGGGGCAGGACAATTGTGACTTAATCTCCCTCTGTGTCCCTAATACTAGGGGGTGAACTAGTTTTTGAGTCTCATGCTGGCAGGGCTAGGTTAGGGGGTTTGCTTGCCAGCTCACACTGTGCATACGCCCCAATCCTGCTTTCCCTGCATCTGATGGATTTTGAACTTTTCCTGTGTGGTTCCATTCGATCTCCAGCCCAGATTTCCTTTCCTCTAAAGTCCCACCCTGCTTGCGCTTGCTTGTCATAAGAGTTGTGCAGTGCCTGCCTCCTAGCCCTCTTGTGTGCATCCAACCTCAGAGGGCATAGGTCTTATTTCCTGAATGGGGACCCTTTTAATCTCATTCCTGTAATTGTGTCAATCTCTTTTTTGGGGCAGCCAGAGACTGGACATGGTGGGCATAGACTGGTGGGAGTATGGGAGGTGAGGGGAGGGGGTGGAGTTGCATAGGCCAAGTGCTGAAGTGAAGTTTCTGGAGGGCTGTCAAGTGAAAGGCGGCCAGAGGCGAATGTCAGATCCTATATAGAGGCAGGAATCTGGGACCGGAGAGTCAGAGCAAGCACTAGCAAGTCAGGAGCAGTGCGGCAGGTGGGCGGGCAGGCGAACTGGCGGGCTGGCAGGAGGGGGCGTGGCAGGGGATCGCTAAAGAAGACTGCAGAGAACAGCTGCTTGATACTGAACCTTACTTTAATGAACTGGCTGCTCATGGAGAATAAGTCCATTGGCCAGACTGGAAGAGCTAGGGGTATAAAGGACATAATCTCTCTCTTCCTTCTATTGCCAAGGTAAGATCTTTCTGGTGTTTTCCATGTGGAGAACTGTGGCAAGGTCCAGGCCTTTCCTGAAAGTGGTGGTGGTGTGTGGGGTTTCTATCTACGACTGCCCTTTTGGTTCGTCTTTTCCATTGTCCATCTTGTAAGACTAACCAAGGTGTCAGCCAGAGGCCAGTATTTCCTTTGGGACTCCCCATCTCCGGGTTGTCCAGGGTGATGATGGAGGGAGGAACCTTGGTGATATGACTTAGTAAGGAGGGAGGGAGGGCACGATAGTGGTGCAAAGTAGGAGACACTGGGATTGGATGGATCTGGGAATCTATGTGATTGCAGGAAAATTAGTAAGCTTCTACAGACCTTAATTCTCTCATTTATAAAATGAATAAAGAACACTATGAAAATCTGTGTTGCTATGGGTACCAGATGAAATGATGAATGTAAAGTGCCTCACGGAGTGTCAGCTAGTCGGTGCGTGTTCAGTGATTCACTCTTGGTATTTCTAGTTTTCTTGTCACAAGATTGATGACTTCTGTGACATTGTCCCAAAGTAGCAAGTCTTCCATTTTTTTTTTGGCACGAGCCAGATATGGGGACGTGTGACCCTTGTGAAATATCTGTTTTGATTTCCAAGTTGAGTCTCAAAATGCTCCTGCTGGGGCAGCTTATGGGTGTGGTTGTAGGGATGAGACCTCGGTGTTGTCCGCTCCCATGTCACCAGAAAAGCCTGACATCTGCGTATGCTACAGATTTGGCTTCACGTGGGCCAGGGTCTAAAGAGGTCAGAGAAATAATTGAATGCAAGCTTAAGGCTGCTGAAGACTAGACAATCCCAAGGAGTGAATGACAGTTAGTTTGGTACTGTTAGAGTGACCCTGTTTTAGCCCCGAGTTTAACTAATCTGACACATTTGGTAAAATGGAAATAATGATCATATTCATTGCACAATGTTAACAGGCAGTGGAAGACTGGACACAGTTACCTAAAGTAGAGGGATTGGCACATAAAAAGTGAAGAGTAAATATTGGGAGTTGTTATTATTAGCAATAATAACAGGGGTGGGCATTGTGGTATAATAGGTTAAGCTGCCACCTGTGACTTTGGCATCCTATCTGGGTGCTGGTGTGAGTCCTGAATGCTCCACTTCAGATCCAGCTCCCAGATTATGCATCTGGGAAATCAGCAGAAAGATGCCTCAAGTACTTTGGCCCCCATTACCCATGTGGGAGTCCTGGACGGAGTTCCAAACCCTTGACTTCATTCTGTCATAAGCTTGAAGTCTGTTTAGGGAGTGAACTAGTGGATGAAATCTCTTTTTGTTTGTTTCTCCCTCTTTGTCTTACCCCTTCTCTCTTTCTTTCCAATAGATAAAACCAAAACTTTTTTTTAAAATTACAACTAATAATAATGCTGATAATGATAATGCACAGACTTTTTAGTTCATGGACTGCTGTTTCTAGTCATGGAGCACATGAATGCCTTTCTTTTCCTAAGAAGGACATTCAGGATCATCAGAACAGTGAAAGGGAAACTAAATCACTGGCAGATTCAATGAGCTCTGGCAACTAATGATTATCCTGGGGCAAAAAGGGGCCTTTGCTTCAGTACCAAGCCTGGTGGACTAGAATGTAACCCAGGGTCCTGCACTTCTCACATTTGACCAGAAGGTGGTGTTGCTGCTTCATTCAAAGGGGGCTAACTAGGCTGCTGGTTGCTGGGGTTGCAAGCGTTCAAAAACTGTGTTAAGTAACTGGGATGGGTTTGTTTAAAAATGTTAAGGGTGCAAGGAATATTCTAGCCCCCAAGCCAATTATTTCTGTAGCTTCTTTACCCTGATAGGTACATTTTAAATGTCATTTATCTGGCAACATAGGAAGGCAGATCTCTAGTTCATGGGGGGTGGTATTTCAAAACGTTCATTTTTTCTGGGAAAATGGAATAAAAAGAAATAAAAAGAGATGACCTCTCATTATATATGGATGGTAAAAAAAAAACCTCTTTTCAACGAAATCGATTTATTTGAGAGGCAGATAACGAGGCAGAGATGGGAAAAGAACTCCCACTTCTGGTTTACTGTAGAACAATGGTTGGAGTTGGGCCAGGGCTGAAGCCAGGAGCCGGTAATGCAATCCCGGTCTCGCACTTGGGTGACAGGAAACCAACTGCTTCAGCCGGTCACGGTCACTGTTGCCTCCCAGGGTACAGATGAGCTGGGAGCTGGAATTAGAAGTCGGAGATAGGAACCACATTCAGGAACTCAGGTAAGTTCCACAGGCATCTGAGTGACGTAGGGGTCTTAGGGGCTAGCCTAAATGCTCACCTCTGGAGGTGAGGATTTTTACACCGAAATAAGCTTATCTTCTAATTCCATTTTCCCATGTGCGCTTTCAAGCATCCTTATATGAATCATTTACCTATTCTCCAGTTTGCTCCATACTAGCTTTGACCTCTAAATTTCTTTTCTCATTTATTAAATGTGAATATTTAATATATTTAATGCATTTAAATATATTTTTACATATTATTATTGTTTCTTATTTATAGATACTCATGTTACTTGAGCTTCAGCAGAACCTGTGATATCATCACTTCAGGGGCTCCCTCCACACTGTGTTCTGGCAACAGCAGACATGTCAATACCTTTGCATTCACTGCAATTCAACAATATGCAGAGGGAAGAACATGTTGAACTCCCCAACGGGGGTACGAGCTTCTCTAGACCAACGGCAGAGAGCAGGTCCGAAGTGCAGATTCCTCATTCACGTGCACAGCTGCCTACAGCGTCAAATTCAATCTCAGATCCTGGAGGAACATCCACACAGCTGCGGGCATCCCCAACGTTTGACACCATATCTGCCTCTATCATGGGAGCAGCAAACTCTGGAGCCGAATCTCCACCACTCATCTCAGCGTCAGACTCTGGGCCGCTGTCCCCACTGCTAATACCAAGTTCAGATTCTGGGACATTGTCGCCGCTACTGATGCCTTCCTCAGACTCTGGGACACTGTCCCCATTGCTAATGCTAACCTCAGATTCTGGAACATTGTCTCCGTTGCTGTCCATTTCAGACTATGGGTTGATGTCCCCAGGTATGATGACAATGCCTGACTTTGGAACAGTGCCTGCAGCACTACTGGCTGGAACTGATTCTGCTGAGGGATCACCATTGGCCATGCCGGCTGTGTCCTCTGAAGTGATGTCTACACCTACCATGAGCACATCATCTTCTGAGACAATGTCTACACCATCAGTGCTAGTTTCCGATCCTGGAGAGCTATCGCCACTCCTCTTTCCAGATATCAACCATGGAGAGATGTCCACCCAGCCAATGCCAGCATCAGACTCTGAGGCAATGTCCCCATTGCAAATTACAGATGAAGACACTGAAGCGATGTCCAAGGTACTGATGACGGCCCTTGTCTCTGGGGAGATCTCTTCACTACTAATGTCAGGAACAGACACGGAAGCGATCTCCTCCCTGATACTGTCAGCCCTTGCTTCTGGAGAAACACCCTCCCAGCCAGCGAGCACCCCAGACTCTGGGGTACTGTCAAACCCAGACTGTGGTGTACTGTCTTCATTGCTCATGCCACCTCCAGAGTCTGGAGCAATGTCCTCGCCACTGCTGTCAGTGCCAGAGGCTGGAGAGATGGGCACGTTATCCCAGACTGTCCCAGACGCTGAAGCAGCATCCCCATTGCTGATGACACCTCTGGCTGCTGGAGTGATACCTACCCAAGTGATGCCAATCCCTGGCCCTGAAGGGATGCCTCCGCAGTTGACACAGCAGCAAGACTCAGAAATCATGTCTACTCTACCAATGAGTGTAACAGCACCCTTGCTGATGGCCACACCACCAGTGAGAGCATCTGACTCTGTGACAATGTCTGTGCCACTCACTATAACTCCAGCCTCTGGAAATATGTGTACATCTCATAACAGCATCCTAGCCTCTGCAGCAATGTCTACTCCACTGATGACAGTCACCAACTCTCCAACAATGACCGCAGAGCAAGTGCCAAGTGCAGACTCTAGAGTGATGCCAACACAATTACCCATGGACCAAACTTCCAGGAGAATGCCCACAAGCCATAGGAAAGATACAGCAAAGGGAGCAAAGACTACACAACGAAGGAAGAGGGCCGCAACCTCAGGAATGGTGTCCAAATCGCTAACGAAAGCCCCAGCTTCCAGAATGAAGTCCATACAGCCGGTAACAGCTGTATCCTCTGAAAAAATGTCTGTGTCACAATTGGCAGCACCAGCTTCTGGACCAGTGTGCTTACTTCAAACGACAGCCCCTGTTTCTGGTTCCATGTTCGTGTCGCAGATGAAAACCACTGGCTCAGAGTTGACATCTACGTCGCAAAACAGAGCCACTGTATCAGGGGCAAAACTGACCCCAATGATGACAGCTGGAACCTCTGGGTCACCAGCCACACTGTTAACAAAAGCTCCAGCCACAAGTACATCATCTAAGGAGCCAATGACTTCCACAGCCCCTGAAACCATGCAGCTGCAACTGACAACAACGGCTTTTGAAACAACGTCCACACCATTACATAGAGACATACCTCCTGGAATTCTGTCCACACCACAAATGGCAAACACAGCGGCTTCTGGAGGGATGTCCAGACTGCTAATGAGAGCCACAGCCTCTGAGGTAATGTCCACATCACACATGACAGCCTCAGCTTCGGGAGCCACATCCATACCACTAAGGAGAGTTCCAGGCCCTGCGACAGGGCCCACATCACTAAAGAGAGCCACAGCCTCTGGAAAGATGCCAAGTCAGCTCATGGGTACCCAAGATTCTGGAGGGCTATGCACGTCACTGGTGAGAGCCGTGACCTCTGCAGGCCTTCAGGTGAGGGCCCCGGCTTCTGTGGTGATGTCCACACCAACAATAAGAACACAGTCCTCTGGAGAAATGTCCACAGCGCCAAGGAGACCCTTGGACTCTGAAGAGTTGTCTGCACTGCTCACGAGGATGGCATCACCAGGAGAGATGTCCCTGCCACCAACAAGGCCCCTGGTGTCCAGAGACATGGCCCTACCACCGAGGGCTCTGGCTTACGAAGCTGTGTGTGCTTTGCACACAAGAGCCACAGCCCCTGGAATGATGTCCCTGCCAGAAATGGAGGCGCCGATGTCAGGTGCAATGTCTACTCCTCTAATGAGAGCCCAAGGCTCTGGAACTCTGTGTATGCCTCAGATGCCATGCATGGCCTCTGGAGGAGTATCTGCACTACCCACGGGAACCCAAGTCTCCAGAGGGGTATCCACACCAGAACTGCTCCCCAGAGCTTCTGGTGACACATGCATGTACGCAATGCGAGATCCAGCTACTGGAGGCATGTCCCCGCCACTGGTAAGAGCTGTAGCCTCTGGAACTATGTCCACACCACTCAGTAGACCCTCCATCTCTGAAGGTGTGTCCCCAGAGTTTGCAAGCGCTTCAGCCACCGCCCAGATGACAGCTATGGCCTCTGGGGAACTGTCCCCCCAGCCATTCATGCGAACCACGGCCTCTGGGATAACGTCTATGCCTTTGATGTCGTCCATGGCTTCTGGAGAGATGTCTACACTGCTGACAAACAGCCGGGCCTCTGGAGCCATGTCTACATCACACAGCGCAGACACAAGCTCTAGATCTCCATCCTTGCCACAGATGACCTACATAGCGTCTGGGGGCATGGTCACACTGCCAATGCCGGCCTTAGATTGTGGAGAACTGTCCACAGCACCTTTGAGAGCCTCAGCTGATGGGACTGTGTCCATGCCACTACTGAGAACCCCTGCCCCTGCAGGAATGCCCGCGCTGTTGTCTAGGGCCCCAGTGGCTGCAGCCCATACCCAACCGCACATGGCCTTAAGAATGCCATCCACTCTGAAAACCAAAGCCTCTGGTGAGGCATTTGCCTCCCAAATCAATGACACAGCCTCTGGGTCGAGGTGCACACCACAAGGGACTGCCACGGCCCCCAAAGTAGCAAACGCCGAGCCCAAGGAAGTCCCATCCTTTGGGATGTTGACCCCAGCACTGTGTTACCTCTTAGAAGAGCAGGAAGCAGCACGTGGTTCGTGCTCTGAAGAGGAAGAGATGGAGATCGATGAGGAGAAGCAAATGAAGGAATTTTTGGATGATTCAGAAAAAATGGCGTTCCTGGTGTCTCTTCAACTAGGGGCAGCAGAGAGATGGTCTATCTTGCAGATGGAGGTGGGAAACCCCCTCTCAGAGGAGAACAAGACTTTCCTGAGCAGGTCACAGGGTTTGTATAACTCCCTATCTGAGATAGACATTCTCCGTGCTATTCTTTGCCATCCTAAGCAGGACCAGAAGTCAGTCAGGCAGTATGCCACAGACTTCCTGCTGCTTGCTCGGCATCTATCTTGGTCTGATGCCATTCTACAGACCAGGTTTCTGGAAGGACTCTCAGAAGCTGTTACCACCAAAATGGGTCGGATCTTCCTGAAGGTGGCTGGGAGCCTAAAGGAGCTGATAGACAGGTCTCTCTACACTGAGTGCCAGCTGGCTGAAGAGAAGGATTGCCCGGGCAATTCAAGCCAGGTGCTGCCGACAACCTGCAAGAGGCATAATGAGGAGGCCATGGAGAATGAGCTGAGCGCTCAGCAGCAGACTGAAGAGGTAATCATGGGAATACAGTCAGGGGTTTGGGGCAGAAAAATGAAGAGGTGATGATGGGGAAGGCATCCTGCCCTTTTGGGCAGACTAAGGGAGAGAGGTGGTGGTTAATGGAGGTGGTGGTGGTGGTTTTGGAGCATTGGCAGATGGACATTGAGTTCCTAGACCATAAATCCCAAGGTGGAGTTTCATCAGCAAGTGTGGTTCTGCAGTTATTTTGGATGAATTAACCACTTTCAGAAGCAATGCTCTGCCCAAGTTACTGAGAATCCGGGGTAGCTAAAGTACTATCTTGTGATTATGAGGGAGCTTATTAGGCTGAGTCCCAATTGTATTCATCTAAAGTTCAGTTTAAGGTAGGGATCTACTGGTGGCTAGCTCCCACCTACAATCACACGTGTTGTGGATGGGGGTCACTTGGGAATTTGGTTACCCCAGTTCTTGGTCACAATTTATAGGAGTAAACTAAATGAGCCCAGTTCTTGATCTGCTAATTACTGAGCTTATTATTCAGATAGGACACTCATTGTCATAGGACATATGACTCTTTATCTCTGATGTTTTTGTCTCACTCCCAGCACCAGCATGTTTCCAAACGCTGTTACTACTTGAAAGAGCATGACGACCCCCAAGAGGGTCTTCACGACCACCTTCGACAGAGCACAGCTCATCAGAAGGCCCCTACTAACAAGTAATGCTCCCTGGACTCTTCGATGGTGTCTGATTTGGCTGTTAACCCGAGGACTATTTCCTGGACCCATTGCATTCAACTATATCCTAACTAAACCTTGTTGCCTTTACCCTTCAACCCCCACTCCAGGCACATCCCACTTGATCTCCCACTTGGCCGACTTAACCTTCTCTTTCACCCATATGCCTGTGACCTGCCTGGACAGTTGAAGAGTGGATTTTAACAATGTATGCTACAAAAGGCTCTGAACTCCTAACACCATCAAGACCAGTTATAGTTTGTGGCCCAGGGGATAGTCTAGGCAGGGGAAATTGTGTCCTACCTCAAAAATACTTGAGAGTGCTTTGCCATGTGTCAACAGGCAAACTTGAGGGAGCCCTGGTCCCATTTCACCTGGAAGAATGATGTGTAAGATGTATGATGTCCGTTCCAAATCACCCTTTTAACCCAATGGATTTGTCCCTCTATTCCTCACCTCCTAGCAACTCAAATGGGTCTCTAGGGCCCATGCCCTGTTGATTGTCTCCATCCCAAGCCACTTGTTTTGACCCATAATAGTGACACCAGTGACAGTAATGGCTAACCGTTATTGACAATGTACCATATGACAGGTGCTGAGCTTGTGAAAGCACCATCTCACTACATTCTTCCAGTAATGCAGCTTGTTCTTGTGACGTCAGCTTCTAACCTGTTGATCTATTGTTTATGCTCCTTGTCCTTCATTGTGAATCTTTAGAACCGATCTCTGGGTGACCTCCTCAGTTGCTAATTGCCCTCTCTTTGGCTGTTGTGCTTCATGGCCAGCACTCTTGATACAGATCTTGGTGTTTAACCAGGCATATTTAGTTAGAATATTATCTGAGCAGTGCCTGCTTTTGGGGGGGTGTGGTTATGGGTGGGTTTTTTTCTTTCTGTGTCTCTGTACTTTCCTGATTCTCTATAGCAAGCATGTATTACATTTGTAATCATAAAATTAAATAAAGTTCATTTAGGCAAAAGCAATTTGACTGTGACTGTAGGATTTGATTTGTTGAGTACTTTAGTCAATCAATATTCATTATCTAATGTGTATTGGCCACTGTTTGTGGAGGATGGAGAAGACCCACAATCATGAGGGATCAGTGTGGTGGCGCATCAGGCTAATCCTCCACCTGCAAGACCAACATCCCATATGGGTGCTGGTTCATATCCAGGCTGCTCTGTTTCCAATCTTGGTCTCTGCTTATGGTCTGAGAAAGTGCAGAGAATGGGCCAGGACACCCACTTGAGAGACCTAGAAGAAGCTCCTGGCTTTCAGCTACAGATCAGCTCAGCTATGGCTATGGCAGCCATTTGGGGAGTAAACTAACAGATGAAAGACATTTCTCTCTGTCTCTCCTTAGCTCTACGTAAAAATCTGACCTTAAAATTAAACTGAAAGAAATGTTTAAATAAAGATCCACAATCATAAGAAAATTCCATTTTGATGGAGGGAGAAGTCAGAGTAAGCAACACATATAAGTAAGACAGACTTAAATTGTGGTGAAGGCTACAAAGACAAGAAATCAGCCTAGTAAGGAAATTAACATAAGTGGGATCAATTTATTTAATCATAACTTATTCATATAATGGGTTACTCAAAGATCTTTTATAAACTGTAGGAATGTGATGATTAGAAATCTATTTTGGAAAGCATGGTGGAACGAGCATTGTAGCATATGGGTAAAGCCTCCACCTGTGACACTGGCATCTCACACTAGTTAAAGTCCTGGCTGCTCTACTTCCAATCCAGATCCCTTCTAATGCACCTGGGAAAGCAGTGGAGGATAACCCAAGTGCTTGCTCCCCTGCAGCCACACAGGAGACCTGGAAGAAGCGTCTGGCTCCAGGCTTTGGATTGGCTCTGCCCTGGCTATTGTGGTCATTTCAAGAGTGAGCCACCAGATGGAAAAGCCCTCTCTCACTCTTTTTCTCTCTTTATTTCAAATACATTTCAAATAAGTCTCTTTTTTAAAAAAAATATGAAAGTTAGCATGGCAACAATTTGGAGGCATGGTGAGGGAGGAGTCAGAAAGCAGTTGAGCCCCTTTTGCGTAGTTCAGGTGACTGACTGGCTCAATGAGCAGATCTAGGGTGTTAGCAGTAGAGACATGAAGGTGGGAATGGAGCCTAAACTCTCTCTAGAGAGTCAAGTCTACTACTCCATGACCGTGAAAGCTGAGTCTGATTCTGAGAAGAAGAAATTGATTCTCAGAAGGAACGACAATTGGCACACACACATTGGCAGCTCCATGATACAATACATAAGAAACTGGCCCTGTTGGCTGTGTGCAGCTGTCTCACTTGCCAATGCTGTTGCCTTGAGATCAGGAGAGTGCACTAAGTTGGGAAATACAGTTCCCAATAGAGATGGATGGTCTCAGGAGATCTTGCTTTCCTGCTCTTCTCTGGGCTTGTTGGCTCATACCTGGCTCAGTCTAGGCCCAAGTGGAATTTGAATATCCATGCTGAGCCAGAATGTGTTTAGCTTAGGAAAGCACTGAGAAGTATTCTGTCTACTATAATAAGAAGCTGATGATCTAGAAGTCACAAGTTATGCCTGAAAAATGAATACAGGAAGGAAGACGCTTTAAAAAATGAAATTGGTTTTCTTATAGCCATGATAATGGAAAACAGCAGCAATTTTTCCCTACTTTCCTCCACAACAATTCTTCATTTTGGTTTTTTTTTTTAAGATTTATTAATTTTTTTTGCAAAGTCAGATATACAGAGAGGAAGATCTTCCGTGAGATGATTCACTCCCCAAGTGACAGCAACGGCCAGTGCTGTGCCTATTTGAAGCCAGGAGCCAGGAACTTTATCCAGGTCTCCCATGTGGGTACAAGGTTCCAAGGCTTTGGGCCGTCCTCGACTGCTTTCCCAGGCCACAGGCAGGGAGCTGGATGGGAAGTGGAGCTGCCAGGATTAGAACCGGCACCCATATGGGATCCCAGCACGTTCAAGGCAAGGACTTTAGCCACTAGGCCACCACGCCGGGCCCCTTCCTTTTGATTTTGCCTCTCTTCTCCTTTGAGTTAGTATATAACTAGAGAATAATGGAACAAATGAAGTGCAATTATACTCTGCCAGAGCTCTGCCCTGCTTCATCTGCCCTTTAAAGGTAATATTTAGTAATGTTTCAAGAGCTACTCCGCTTCTACATGGAACTGGGTTATCATGCACCCAGGTACTTGAGACGATGTCACCTGCTAGAATATGGTATTTCATGTTCCTCCAGGCCTCAGTGGTCCATAGAAAAAATCATGTTCCACAGCAGGAAAAATTCAAATGTCACTAACCTTTGTCCCTACCTATGTGTGTTGGGGGATTTAAGGTAATGATCTTGGGAAGACCCCAACAATGTTACTTATTCTGAGACAGTCCTCTTCCTGTTATTCTTTCACTCCTATCATGTGTTGTGGATGTCAGCCAATCAAGGGAAGCCACTTGACCCTGCTGCAATTGTGCATTTCTGGCTGTGGGAGGTTAGAGGCCTGTGCTGTGGAGGCCATGGATTCTGGGGGTGTTCATAGTTATACAACCATGTAGGATACAGATGGTGAGATCCTGTTTTCTGGCCACTTTGGGTCATATTAATGGATCCATCAAAAAGGGCAGAAATGTCCCTTTTGTTTCTGTGTCACACTATGTCATCTAGACATGGAAAACATTACTTCTACCTGGAAGCTCAATGAAGTCTGTATGAGAAAAAAATACATCTCCTGTTTCGCCTTGCACAACCTCCCTGTCATGGATCGGGTGTTCAGACTCGGTTCCCATGCCTGGAGAAGAAACTCAGGGTGTCTGCACCGGCCTGTTCTTCAACTGCAATTCCCATATTCTTCTATCTGATCAGAGATATATAGAGACTTTTGCTCCCACAATTGTGTCCACTTGTCATTCTCATCTAAGATGAATAAACTGTGCAATTGAGAGAGTTGAGGGCAGGGAAGGTAAACTAAAATCTGTGTTAGTCAAGGAAAGGTTTACAGGTGAACAGATAGATAGTCTAGATTAAAATGACCCCTGGAGGTAGAAACTTGACTTTGACTACCTCTACCTTTCCCTGTCATAATCTGGGCAATTATACACCAGCCATTTTACCTCACAGAGTCTTAATTTTTCATAACTCAAATGAAAATAATCATTGTCATCGTCTTGCTTATCTCACAACATTGTAGAATTAAGATTGGGAAAGGGTTTGAAAAGCTCAGATGCAATACACAAACATAAGGTCTTGCTATTGTCTGTTGGAGGGGACCAGAACATGCCACCTCAAAATATGTCACTTTGGCATGATTATTTTGAGCTGAAAGCAATTAAGTAGTGAATGCAGGAGGAGTTCTTTGCTCACTGGTTAGCTGTCTAAAAGCAAGAGGAAAGCAACAGTTCTCACTCAAGTGTGAAAGTCAGCACCCAAAGAGATATGCACAAACATTTGAAAATTATCCCTATTTTCCATTAATTTCACCCATATATTTCCCTAACCACAATTTAACTGCCACTGGAAGCCCAAGCTGATTGCCTTTAGCTTGTTACTTCATTACAATTTATCACCACTTGTTGAGATGGTATGTAAGTCTCTGGCTCTAACTGCTTCTTTTCACCTTCATTTATTTTCTATGAAGGTCCCTTCATAAGATGGGGATATTAACAACAATTAAATTTGTGTGCCTTTTCTTCTGTTAATATAACTTTTTGTAAGTTTAATTGGCAGACTTCAGATACATAACATAAGAGACAGAGTAATAAATTGTTTTCACTCCCAAACTGTTAGAGTAGGCATGGGCCTGAGGGGGCTGGACCTGGGTGGGGAAAGTGCAGGGCTACTTGGATCATGCTCAGGATCCATTCTCTTCAGGAGTCACCTATAAATTACAGAGGCAGAATTAGACATAATTCCCTGAAGCATGACAAAAAGCAAAGTTTAATATGAATATCTATCAGATATTTATCACATGTTCTGAATTGATTAACTGATGTAGT